TTTTCCTTGAGTATTCTTTGTTCTTGGGTTGGGATTGGCGTCCGATACGTTTAAATGAAAACTAACTTAGCAGTACAACCAAAACATTTTGACGTTTGTGGTGGCAAAAAAAGCTCCGACTCACCCGTTTGGATTCTCTTCGTCCTCTTCGTCTTCATCATTGTCAACTTCATCTTCATCTTCATCATTGTCAACTTCATCTTCATCTTTGTAATCGCTCAGTTCATCTTCAAATCCTTCGTCAGCATTGGTGTCGACTGCATCCTTCACAGCGCCCAAATCGTCAGATTGATCGGCTTCATAGGCAGCTGTTTCTAGGGGTTCATAGGATACAACAGCCTGCAAAGATACAGCCAGGCAGAATGCCACGAGGGCGGAAAGAACAAACTTGTTCATTCCGGTCCTTTTCTTGCTTGGGCCTCCAACAACTTAGCAGCTTCTTTGTAGAAGCAGTGCTACTCTGATGATTTTGTCATTGGAGAGGGGCATTTATACTCGCGAAAACCTGGGAAAACGTGTCTAGAACTTCAAAATATTGTTCCTGTAATAGATTATACTGGCCTTCTTGGTCAACACAAACGTCGGGTTCTATGTGCTCTTCAAGATGGCTTTAAGTATTTCCGTACTCGAAAATGCGTTATTTTAAGTTTTATTTTTATATCATTCGTAATCTTTTGTACTTTTCTTTAATCTGTAAAATCAGGAGAATATATTCTCTTGATAATATTAAGTTACAAAAATGAAAATTTGCATCGCTGTTTCAATGATTTTCCATATTTTCGTTTTCTTTCTTTTTTATTTATTTATTCATTTATTTATTTATTTTTTGTTACCAATTTTTGGTTACTATATTTTTCCTTTCATGCGAGCTTTTTCTTTGGTATTTCCAGTTGTCGTGGACAATGGAGCCTTTCATTACGTAACTGAAGGGTGAGGTTAACAACGAAACCAAAATTGGCTATACTGGAAAAAGTATTTTTGTTAGCGCTGTTGTTCCTGAAGTCAGAAGACTTTAATTGGTATGTAATTGTAGTGAGGTTACATATGAGGCTGACGCACAAAAATTGAAAATAATTACTTCTAGTACTTAACTACTTTGTCTTTAGACGAATGAGCTGAGAATTGTTTCATTGACAAGTACACTTGACATTGATTCACCGTCATCACGCATTTTTTTTTCTTTTCCTTTTTTTTTTTGATTAATACACTTTTAATTAGTTGTTTTTTTTTAGGCTATTGTTAGATTTTTGTGGACCTGATCACGCGCAATATTGATAAGGAATTCCAACCATTCACAACCATTTGATAAAAGCTGCACATCAGAATATCCAGTTGCAAGGTTTCTTTTAACACATGGAAAGTGATTTTGCACGGCCAGGGAGCTGGTAACCAACTCTGCAGTTCTGTTGCTTTCATCTTAGATCTTACTTTAAGGAGTGGAGAAAAGAATGCCTCTGAAAAGTAAATTTACAGAAGGAGGAACGGATCCAAGGCCATATGCCATGAGCCAGGATGATGTGTAAGGCCTTTAGCTCAACACATAACTGGGCAAAGGAACGAAGTGCACTTAAGCACATTTGATAAATATTGCGCTGTAGAGTTGGTTCTCACGGAATTATTTTCTCCACAAGATTTTTTTCTCCACAAGATTTTTTTCTCCACAAGATCTTTTTCTCCACAAGATTCCTTGTGGAGAAAATGATTCGTCGTAACTCTAATGATATCGTGAATAAAGTTTAATGTCACGAAATGGTACTCGAAGTTTTGCTCATGCCTTATATTAGCTTGGCATTTAAATCGTTTATATGCCTGAGTGTTCCTTTTATTTAAATTAAATAATCAAT